GCTAAAGTGGTGCTTCAGGTTAAGAACAGTTTCAGGTTAAGTACGGACCTCCGGAACGAATTAAGTACTTAACCCGAGGTACCACTGTACTTACATTAAATAAACGAGATGCACATTTCAGTCCTTAAAATGATACTTGATGCCTCTAGAATAGGGGTGTGGGAACTTCATTGACCTTATGGAAGCATTCCCTCTTGGCCAAGGATGGGCAACCTATGGCCCCCTAATTATTGTACTTCCAACTTACATCAGTCCCAGCAAGCATGGCCAATAAGTAGGGAAACGATGGGAGTTTTAGTTCCCCATCCTTATCCTTGATCAGCCCTCTGGATGCCACATGCCAGCAGTTTGGGGGGTGGGGGTGGAGGGTAAAACAAGAGTGGACAAAGCCAAAGTGGGACAAAGCCAGCGTACAGCTTCCGGGTCATGTGGCCAGCATGACTAAGCTGCTTCTGGAGAACCAGAGCAGCACAAGGAAACGCCGTTTACCTTCCCGCCTATTTATCTACTTGCACTTTGACGTGCTTTTGAACTGCTAGGTTGGCAGGAGCAGGGACCGAGCAACGGGAGTTCACCCTGTCACAGGGATTTGAACCGCCGACCTTCTGATCGGCAAGTCCTAGGCTCTGTGGTTTAACCCACAGCGCCACCCGCGTCCCTCCCACCTTAGTAGTTAGATATTCAAAAAGCATTTTTGCTGTTTTTCAAACCTAACTGCTGATGGGGGAGGGGAGTCTTCGTGGAGATTGCAGGTGTTGTTGCCCCCTCCCTCAAGCAATAGTCTTCATTGCCACCAATAGTTGTTGTCAAGCCCAAATGCCTGGAGGGGATCTGTTTTTGATGAGGGCGTTGGAGTTCATGAGGAGGGCACCCCGGCTGCAGTTACCCTGGCCATGCCCCCTCCGCCCCCCTATTAGACTCGGGGGGGGGGACTCCAATAAAGCTTTTGCTAAGCCTAAAACCTGCCAGGGGGTGTGCATAGAGGGGATGCAGTTGACCAGATGGAGAGACCCAGGGGTTGCATCTGGCCAGTGGGACTCTGGATCCTCACCCCTGTTTTAGAAGTAACATACTGTTCATTCATGCTAACATTTATCCCAACTGTTCTTCAGTGAACTTTTTAATTTGCAAAATTATATGTCATCCAAATTATTTCTGCATCAAATGCTGAAAAACCAAGAAAGCACCCCATTCTTGTTTTTACTGGACACATTGGAAAGATTTCATACTGGGCAGACTTATAGAAAGTGCAAACTTCTAAAGCCCCGTATTTTAACCCTTAGTTGTTCTGATGGAGAATGGCGATGTTTACACATTTGGATATGGGCAGCATGGGCAGCTTGGACACGGAGACGTTAATTCCAGGTATGTGACTATAAATGTGTTTTAAATATGAAATTGTTGCATCTTTATTCTATTTGCAGAATACTTTCAGTTTTGCATTTTCCCTACGCTGACTCAAATGCTTTTGAAGGTAATAGGAATTTCCCCCATGAGAGCAAAGCGATATGTTATCACATCTAGCCTTTAATATTTGATGCTTTTGTGTGAGTGATAGACACATTCTGATTTGTGTATGGGTGTGTATATGCATATATAGCTCACCGATATCCACATGTAAACTATGTTCAGTTCAGTTCAATTTATTGTGTTTAGCAAGCAGCCATGACACACATAAAAATAGTTATAACAAGGTTACTGCTAATAATGGTGGTTTACGTTTCTCCTCCCCGACTTTACAGGATAAATCATTTCCCATTCTCCCTTTAAGTTTTATTACACGAATTTGTAAAGCCTTAGCAAGAAATGTGGATGTTCTAAAGAATATATACCCCTCTACAACAGACAACAAAAAACAGGTCTGCAAGAGACATGTATATGCATACATATCTCACTTGTATCTACATGTAAACTATATTTAGGGTTCAATATGGCAAATATTGTTAATGGAAAGTAAATACATCATGGTATGGATTAGATTTATGAGACAAAAGTGTGACGGTGGCCACATTTTCATGTCATGGTAAGCCATAAACCACGGCTTACTGTGTGTAAATAGTGTTTGCTTTTCTTAGTTAATTAAGCCCTAATTCCTGGCTTTGTGTTACATTCAAAAAAAGCGATCACGGCTAGTTTCACTTGCAAGAAGCCACAATCTGTAGCCAAGGTTTGTTCTTAGTTTACTGAGTGTGGTCCCATGAAACAAGAGTAGTGAAACAGGCACAATTCACTTGCACATAGTAAGTGTGGTTTATGTCACCAGACTCCTGATCCCATCATCATTGGCTATTGAACATGGGATTTGGAGTCTAATAACATCTCTATTGTAAGACATACAAACGGAGCTAGTTTTCCTCAAAACTGCTTTTTAGTGTTTCAGACAAGAAACAAAACAGTAGAAAAGTATAACCAGTTAAACAATCCGAATGGCAGTGAAAAAGAGTTAAATAGTGGGTGGTTTGGAAGAGGGGGTAGTAGCATTGCATGGATATTTAACTAACCATTCATACTACCAAATTGTGCAATTCTGCCCTATATTTATGAGCACTATTCACTGTTCTAATGTTTCTAATGGTTTCTTTATCCTCACAATTTAACTGTCAAATGTTCTTTAGCATTTACACATTTTCTATTTAATTGTACCACTTCAGCTTCGTTCACTGATATCATGTAAAATACACATGGACTATATTTTTTGATAGAAGATGAATGTATACATAATAAAAGATGCACTTACTTTGCTCCAACTTAGGGGATGCCCTACTCTAGTACAGGCACTTCCAGGACCTAGCACACAAGTTACTGCAGGCAGCAATCATACAGGTATTCTGTTAATGGATGGACAAGTCTTCACATTTGGAAGCTTCTCGGTAAGATTTTTGTTAAAATTACATTTTCATATTGGAAACACCTTAAAGATTATTAACTGGTATAAGTTCATATGTACCGTATTTTTCGCTCCATAGGGCGCACCTGACCATAGGGCGCACCTAGTTTTTAGAGGAGGAAAATACGGAAAAAAATATTCTGAATCCAATGTTGCACTAAACTATTTAAAGCAGCAAAGCGGGCGGCTCCTGTCCGCTTTGCTGCTTTAAATTGAGCCTCAGAGGAGGGTAGGAAGGGGAACCATGGCTTATCTAAGTCCAGTTAATAATGCTGAGCCTGATTTATGGCCATCGAGATTAGCCTGGCTGTCTTAGTGGAAATCTGGGGATGCTGAGGTGGACTTTCCAGTGGTCAAAGTGTGGTTGTGTCTTCCTGCCCGGCATCTATTTCCTGCCCTCTTTCCCACTGCACCCCCGCACCCTGCTTCGAGGGAAGGAAGCGGAGCCATGGATCCTCTGCTCACAACTGCAGTGGATTCCCTCCACTTTGAAGCAGGAAAGTGGGAGAGGAGCTGCTTACATGAGTGTAAGCTGCTCCCCTCCCACTTTGCTGCTTCAAAGGGAGCCTGGGAGGAGGGAATCGGCTGCAGCCTCGAGCAGCGGAGGATCCATGGTCCCCTTCCTTCCCTCCTCTATAGTTGCTTTGAAGCAGGAAAGTGGGAGAGGAGCTGCTTACACGAGTGTAAGCTGCTCCCCTCCCACATTGCCGCTTCAAAGCAATCACGGAGGAGGAATCCGCTGCAGCCGTGAGCAGCGGAGGATCCATGGTCCCCTTCCTTCCCTCCTCGTAGTTGCTTTGAAGCAGAAAGTGGGAGAGGAGCTGCTTACACGAGTGTAAGCTGCTCCCCTCCCACATTGCCACTTCAAAGGGAGCCCGGGAGGAGGGAATCTGCTGCAGCTTCCCCCACCTCCCGCAGAAGCTGTGCGCTCTTTAAAGGGGCTGCGTGGCTTCTCTTGGCTTTTCTCGTAGAAAAGCCCGCAGGAGCCGCGCAGCCTTTAAAGAGGGCGCCGCTCTTGGGGGCTTTTCCCCGAGGAGGGAGAAGGGACTGATGCGGCCAGTCAGTCCCTTCTCCCTCCTGGAGAAAAGCCCACAAGAGCGCACGAAGCTTGTGTGCGGCTCTTGGGGGCTTTTCCCGCCTGCCTCCCCCTTGCATTCGCTCCATAGGACGCACACACATTTTCCCTTGCTTTTTAGGAGGGAAAAAGTGCGTCCTATGGTGCGAAAAATACGGTGTTTATTTTTGCCTGCTTTAAAGATTGATTTTTGTTTCTCTGCTGGTTTATTATATATCTTTATTTTTTTCTTTGTTCTGCTATGTATTGGGGTGGGGAGACTAAATAATAATAATCTTTGCTTTTCCAAATAAGCTTTTTTCATTTATTGATTGATGCCACTAAGTCTTTGAATTGAAGAGATTTCTCCAGTTTCAAGCCTCATCTCATGCTCTTTATGAGCCATCTCCAAACTCTACTGAAGTTCAGACCCAGCTTACAATGTGTTTGGTTCAGCATGATTCCAGTCAGCTCATACTACTTCCTTCCCTTTCCCACCAAGATGTACCTGACTGTGATAGCAGAGACAAATTATATTGGGAGGGCCCACACAGCCCTAGAGGTTGGAATGCGGGGTCCAGGTCCACCAGAAACCATAGGAGAACTCCATAGTTCCAAATGGAAGCACCAGCATAGTTTATGCTCAGCCAGGTTGGGAGGAGAATGGGCAGGAGGGCTGTGTGCTTTTTGATGGAGACAGTGATCTAAAACCATTGAACTTAAATGAGTTGCTTTGGGGCCAATCTGAACCAATCCCAAAATAACCCGTTCAAGTGGTGCTTTTTACAAACTGAGCTCACAGTCCAACTGTAAAACCATGACATTACATGCTTATTGAGATACGTAATATTTGTTGCCTGATAAAAAGGGGGCTCTATGCCTTCCATGGGTCGCACCAAGCCTGGGGGTCAAAACAAGGCACCAGCCTACATCATCTTAGATGTATATCAGGCTTCAGTCCAGAAATGTTGCTCCACATTATCTGCTGCCCCTTAGGCACAGATTCTTCCCAGCACCAAATCCTTTAGCAGACCTCTTTTTCTCATGGCTATTTCAGTGTTGTGATTTCTTCAGCATGTCCAGCTCTCCTTTCCCTAATAGTCCATTTTTTGGGGGACTTACTCCCAAAAAGAATGGACTATTAGGGAAAGGAGAGCTGGACATGCTGAAGAAATCACAACACTGAACACCTTTCTGGAACACCTTTCTGGAATCTCTGTAGAGTTGTCTTATTTAGGCATCCACCTTGCCCAGTCTATTCCCAGTGTCTCCACTGGCCTTCTTTCCTTCCTCTCCCCTCTCTCTGAAGCTTTTCATACCCTCCTTCTTTCCCGTCCCTTCCTTCTGCCAAAGGTGTAGCAATTGGGCTCTTTTGGTGCCATCAGGCGGCTTATGGAGAGAGCCCCGCCCTTTACCCGCAGATGGAGTCTTCAGGCAGTGTCCAGATATGGCCTCCTCAGGAGTCATTGCCTGCTGGTGTAGATCAGGGCCTGCTTAATGGGCCAGGTGCCAGTATAGGATTTGTGCACCCTGGCACCTCACAGTGCCGCATATTTATGTTTCCTACACTGACGATGCTTGATAATGCCCGTTCGTGAAATGTTTGCATTTCTAACCATTGTCATTTTCTAATTCACATCTTTAGAAAGGGCAACTTGGGAGGCCTATTTTGGATATTCCTTACTGGAATGCAAAACCAGCACCCATGCCTAACATAGGATCAAAGTACGGACGCAAAGCAACTTGGATTGGAGCAAGTGGTGACCAGACTTTTCTTCGCATCGATGAAGCTCTCATTAACTCTCATGTGCTTGCTACATCAGAAATCTTTGCCAGCAGACACATAATAGGCAAGGTTCATTTGCTCTTTTGTTGTAACTCAAAGGAAGTAATGAAGTTGAGGTCAACCTGTTGTGTTTGTGTCTGCTGGTGTATTGGCTTCCTCAAAGCATAGTAAATATGTTTCCACCTCTCTATGTTATTGCCATTTGAGAGAATGAACGAGGACTAAGTACATGAATTCTTGTTTTTTCCCCAGGCTTGGTTCCTGCAAGCATATCAGAGCCTCCTCCATTTAAGTGTCTGTTGATAAATAAAGTTGACGGAAGTTGCAAAACATTTAATGATTCTGAGCAGGAGGACCTTCAAGGATTTGGTGTATGTCTAGATCCTGTTTATGACGTTGTTTGGAGGTAAATGTTGGCTGAAGATAGCTGCTGGGAACATAGTTATCTGGGTTTGAGAGAGCTCATGAAGGATGGTCTAGGGAATATTGAACTTTATTCCACTTGTGGCTTCAGCCAGTTCCTTCTGTTCTTAGGTGGAGAATCTTGGCTCCCTTCCACTTAATGTTTTGGAAATAAGTTCTTAGCCAGCAATGTTATAGAGGAAGTATAGACGCTTGACCATTATATCAGTATATACTGTGATGTATGTGTCTAGAAATGGCATTGGGGTTGGGGGCTGTTGCTTAAATGTAGCTGGCACACGGCAGTGAAAAAATGGGTGAGAATCATTGTTTGGATTCAATTAGACTTTCATAGTAATGGCATGAAAAGATGACTGCTGCATCGTTCTTGCTTTACATTTGAAACATCTTCCTTTGGTCAGGTTTCGACCCAATACAAGAGAACTGTGGAGTTACAATGCAGTTGTAGCTGATTCCAGACTTCCCTCTGCCCCTGACATGCAATCCCGCTGCAGTATTCTAAGCCCAGAACTGGCTCTTCCAACGGGGTCCAAAGCTCTTACAACAAGGTCACATGCGGCTTTGCACATTCTAGGTATGAATAGTTGACCTGAAATAGCCGAAATTAAGTTGATGAGATGTGATTTTTATTAACTTCTAGAAAAGTGAGCTTCACTTCTCCTGGTGCTTTAGTAGTTCACTTAAAGGCATTATTTACCTGAAGACTTTGAATGTTGAATGGTAGCACTTCAGTTAATCCATGTTCTCTTAGGTTTCAAACACTAAGCCTATTTCCTGTCTAAGTGAATCTGCCTTCTGTGTAGATTCTTGCAAGCTGTTAACCCCTGCACTTTGTAAAGCTACTTTGAAAGCGTCTAATCATCATTTAATCTAACGGAGATTAGCAAAACAAGAAATTTATAAATTGGTAATCCTAGTTTAGAACTTGGAAAGAATTACTTCTGCTTGGTAATAAGAGCACTTTTACTCTGAGATAATTTATCGAAAAGGTGGCAACAGGAAGGGTGCACTATGGTAGTTTCAATACCCTTGCTAAAACGAATGGGTAGTATTCAGTTAATTCATTGTATAGTACAAATATAGGCTGTGCTATGCAACTTCCTTGCCTGCCTAAATCTGCTCCAGAGGAACCCCCGGAGCAAAATTTAGGAGGTATGAGAAGAGAAGGCAGGAGAGTTACATTCTTCTAAACATTGTTACAGATAACTTCCAGTCTAATGTAAATAAATTTGTGCCTAATCTGGGTTACCACCAGTCATATTTGGGAGTTCTTTCCAATTTATCTGCAGATCTGTTCCAGACATTCTTTTCTAAACCCCATATGATTTTGTTTCCTAGATTAGCAGTACTGGTCAGAATTAATTGGAGGTCTGGTGTGGTCAATTAGTATAGCTTGATCAAATTTCTTACAGACACTAGTCCTTCTACCAGAATGTGCTCAGTTTATTTTTCTTTGTTGTTTTTAGGCTGTCTTGATACATTGGCTGCTATGCAGGACTTAAAAATGGGCGTGACAAATACAGAAGAAGAAACACAAGCTGTAATGAAAGTGTATTCCAAAGAAGACTATAGCATTGTCAACAGATTTGAAAGTATCTATCTATGTATCAAATACAGATTTTCCTTCCTGTATGTAGTTCATGAAGTTGAATGTGCAAAAACTTACCTTTTCCTTCTCCCTTTAGGTCACGGAGGGGGTTGGGGTTACTCAGCCCACTCAGTAGAAGCCATCCGCTTTTGTGCCGATACTGACATCTTACTTGGTGGACTTGGCCTCTTTGGTGGCAGGGGTGAATATACTGCCAAAATAAAGGTAAGAAAAAGTTCGTTTTGGAGCATGTTTAAATCTGAGTTTAGAATATAGCATTACACTGATCAGGTATAGGAAAGGAGAAAGAGGGTAAAAAAAGAGCTCTAGATTTTTTGGAACCACAGGGAAACAGCTTTCCTGGGAAGAAAACTAAATTTGAAAACGAGAAAACTTGCAGTAAATAAAGACATGTGATTTACCGTATTTTTCGCCCTATAGGACGCAGTTTTTCCCCTCCAAAAATGAAGGGGAAATGTGTGTGCGTCCTATGGGGCGAATGCAGGCTTTCGCTGAAGCCTGGAGAGCGAGAGGCGTCGGTGCGCACCGACATCTCTTGCTCTCCAGGCTCCACGAAGCTACCCGCAAGCCTTGCGCACCCGGGGGGAGTTCCCCCGGGCGCACTGAGCAGGCCTTGCGGGCCGGCAGCTGCCTGGGCCCGGAGCCGCGCGCAGCCAGCAGCGCGGGTGCGCCTCCGGAGGACGCCCCGTGCTTCACGCAGGTGTCCGCAGCCTGCCGCCCGGCGCGTAAGGCGCCCTGAAGCAGAGCACCCCTCGCGCCGGGCAGACATCGGCCAGCCCCACAAGCTCGGGGGACATTGAGGAGGCGCAGCGCCGCCACCGCACTGTTCCCCGACCTGGTTTTGGGGGGGGGAAATAAAGGAAAAAAATTTTCCTTTATTTCCCCCCCCAAAAAGTAGGTGCGTCCTATGGAATGGAGCGTCCTATGGGACGAAAAATACGGTATGTTTCATACCACCCTTCAACGCAACACATTTTTTCGGGGGGTGGGGTAGAATGACATACTAATAAGGCAGGAAAGTAAAACTCTTAAAGGCTTCTCTTTTCAGTTGTTTGAATTGGGTCCGGATGGAGGCGATCATGAGACAGATGGTGACCTTCTTGCTGAAACGGATGTCTTGGCATATGATTGTGCTGCAAGGTAAAATGAAGGAAGAGCTGTCCTTAAGCAGGATGAACAGATAATGCACATAAAGTTCATTTTGTTGTGAAACACTTGACGATAACGTTAGATTTTTATCTGTGTCTTTTTCTCAGGGAAAAGTATGCAATGATGTTTGATGAACCAGTTCTTTTGCAAGCTGGTTGGTGGTATGTAGCCTGGGCGCGAGTATCTGGCCCTAGCAGTGATTGTGGGTCCCATGGACAAGCATCTATTACTACGGATGATGGGTAAATATTTTCTTTCTTGGATGTTTTGTTTTGAGGTTTGGAAGAAGCCATGTAACTGGTGTTTGAATAACGTTTCTTCTTCAGTGTCGTCTTCCAGTTCAAGAGTTCAAAGAAATCGAATAATGGTACAGATGTCAATGCCGGCCAGATTCCCCAGTTGCTGTACAGGTAATGCTTTAAAAAAAAAACCTGAAACAGTGATAGATGTCATTTGGAGGGGGGACAGTTTAATACAGTACAGTGTTCACTGAAACATCTTGTTACGATAGTCAGTATTGCAGTTTTGTATCCTTTTCTGTACGATGAAGATGAAGTAGTTATTCAGCCTTTCTTTTATTTCATTTGTATTTCACCCTTCCTACAAAGAGTTTGGAGTGACATGTATAGGATTATCCCAATTTTTCCACTCTTACAACTTTTTCTTTAGTTTAACCTGAGCAATGGCAACTATCCCAAATGTACCTAGTGAGCGTTATCGCTATATAGCATTTATATCTGGTTCTCCCTGGATGAGATGAACTGGGTTGCCTGGTTAGCTGTGACAGGGTCTTCTTGGTGGCAGCCCCCAATTTGTGACATGCCCTCCTTAATGAGGGGAGTCAGTCTCCGTCACTTGTAACTTTTAGGAGAAATTAAAAAACATGCCTGTTTACCCAGGCATTTGACGGCTGAAATTTCTGTCCCTGGAAGTCTTGGAATTAATAGTATGAGAGGGGGGATTGCTTTTTAGGAGTTCTAAACTTTAATAGAAGTTTTGTTTTATTATTAATATTGATATGTTTTCTGCTCTGGGCTCCTTTGGAGGACTAATAATAGTAGATGTCACACAGAACTGCCCTGGATTTCTTCTAGTTGCCCTAGCCACCTGCAGCTGCATCCCCTTACTTTAAACAGAATACTATTCCAGCAGGTTCCCTTGATCCTGGGAGCAGCTTGAGGGAACACACAGCCTGCAGTTAGAAGGACATAAA